CCAGGCCCCCTACCTGGTCCCAGCCCCCATCCTGCCCTGCACTCCTCAAATCCCCACTTTGGGCCCCGTTCCTCATTCACACCTCCCAAGTCCCTGCTCCTCTGCGCCCCCCTCCTCCAGAGACCGCATTGCCCTTCAGGTGGGACTCCCAACTTAGGACTTGCCCCTTCTGGGCGGGGCCTGCTTTACTTTGAAATGCCCCCCTCTGGTTTTTCTGAGAGAATTTTGGAAGAAAAGGAGAATTTAGCTTGAGGAATTCAGAGCCAGTTATCCTCTAGCCCCATCCAGAAGAGTAGGGGAGAAAGGAGAGATGCATAAGACCTTAGCTGTCTCTATTCCCTCCATTCCCTGCCCTGCAGGAATTCCCGTCCTCTCTGTCTGCAGTTATGGTCACACTCATCCTTGCCAGGCTGGTAGGGGCCCTGAGGGGTGACAGTGCAAGAATCTGAGTGCTAATAGCCTCATTAGTGGGGGAGGGCACACTCTTCTTTGCCTCTGGGGCCAATGCCTTTGTGGGGCTCTAGCTGGGAGGGGAGTGAGCCCTGGTGGTGGGGATCTTAGGGAAGGGGTGAGTCAGGCAGCAGCCCCCCCTCTTACTCTCACCAGGCTGGCGGAGAACATCTGGTTCCCATGAAATGCTAGAAGGCTAATGGGTCTAATTGCTGCAATAAGGACTGGGGGGACTTTGGGGAAAAGAGGGGGCACTAGATCCCCCCATCCTCTTACCTTCTCCCCAAGCCTGTGCTAAGTCTATCTGGAATGGGCAGCTGGGTGGATAGGAAGGATGGGCCTGCCACCCTATTGCCTGGTCCTAAGGCCCCTCTGCCTGCAGTGCCTGGGAAACATGCACAGATGGGGTGATGAGGAGTGGGGTGCAGCTGGTGAAGAGAAAGGGGGCTGTTGAGGACTCATGGCTTCCTGGAGCCCTCCCCCAACTCCTCCAGTGCCCTCCTCCCAACCCCCTCCCTGTGGCCTGGCCACTTCTGGTTCTAATTACCAACCAGGCAGGCCTGACTTAATTGGGACCTTTCAGATTTCGGAGGAGAAGGGAAGGAATGACAACCTAAAGTTGACTAATCAAGGATCTTTCCCCCTTGATTTTTGGGGGTACTCACCATGTTGCACTTAATTAATTTCATTTTTGCTCCTTGTCAGATTTCCTTTCAGAAACCTATTCCCCCCCCCTCTTTTTTGCCTTTTCTTTGCTGGGTAGCTGGATTCAGAAATGGGGTACTTGGAATTGGGACCCGAAGGGGGAACTCACACTGGACTGGAAAGAGCACTGCGTTCCCTTCCCATCCCTATGCCGAACTCGGTCCTGCCACCCCAGGCACCCCCGCCCGGTTCTCGAGTCAGGCCCCACTTTCCAGCCCTTCCCCTCAGTCCCTGGCAGCCACCCGGGCCCCTCCCCCGCCTTCGCTCGCCCACTCTGGCACCCCTTCCTGCTCTTTTCTTCCACCGGGCGCCCCACTCTGCAGCACCCCAGTCGCCCCCCCACCCCGGTACAACAGAT